TACTTAGAACACCCTAGCAACCTCATAACATCTACTTAGAACACCCTAGCAACCTCATAACATCTACTTAGAACACCCTAGCAACCTCATAACATCTACTTAGAACACCCTAGCAACCTCATAGCAACTACTTAGAACACCCTAGCAACCTCATAGCATCTACTTAGAACACCCAGCAACCGCATAGCATCTACTTAGAACACCCAGCAACCGCATAGCATCTACTTAGAACACCCAGCAACCGCATAGCATCTACTTAGAACACCCAGCAACCGCATAGCATCTACTTAGAACACCCAGCAACCGCATCACCCCAGCAACCGCATAGCAACTACTCAGAACACCACAGCAACCGCATAGCAACTACTCGGAACACCCAGCAACCGCATAGCAACTACTCAGAGCACCCCAGCAACCGCATAGCAACTAATTACAACACCCTAGCAACCTTTCATAGAAACCACATTCCAGATCATTTCAATCTGAATTCAGTTCCGTTTATTTGTTAAATGTGAATCAGGAAGAATGATTGAGATACAGATTGATCAGATCATGTGATCTAGAGAGAAACTGATGAGAGTTTTGACTTTCGATTGCAAACTTTGGAAGCTTTCCATTTAATCTCATTGATCTCATTTAATCTCAAACTTTATGTTTGAAGATGACGTGAAGCTTAGCCGTACTATTTTCAGGTTAGTTTGTGTTCTTATTCTCACACTGTCAACACCCTGAATGATATGAAACATCTCTGGAGAGGGAGATTTGAGTCTGAAACTCAGAGTTGAAGTGTGTGAGTGAGATAGAAAGCAGAAGTGACATATCTCCTCCGATCACACCGTTTCCTCTCGCAGTTACACAGCGGAAGACGCCACTTCCTCAAAAAGACATAACACGGTCCTCGCAAACACCTCTGACTGCACGACGCAGGTAAACACACTCGCACACGGCTGTACGTCTGTGTCCGTCCGTGCTCTCCTGCCATCAGGATGGAGGCGTTCAGCTCAAAGGACATGGCCATGAAGGCCCAGAAGAAGATCCTCAGTCACATGGCCAGTAAGTCAGTGGCTCATATGTTCATCGATGACAACAGCAGTGAGGTTCTGGACGAGCTGTACCGTGTCTCCAAGGAGCACACGGGGAACCGCAACGAGGCCCAGAAGGTGGTGAAGAACATGATCAAGATCGCCGTGAAGGTGGGGGTTCTGTTCAGACACGACAAGTTCAGCGCAGATGAGCTGAGTGTGGCGCAGGACTTCAGGAAAAAACTCCACCAAGGAGCCATGACGGCCATCAGTTTCCAGGAGGTACAAACACTCGCATTCATCAGTCATATTTACACGCTAATGGTGTGTTATGATTAATCATCAGCAGTACTACAGCTGACAGTCTTAAAGTTCAGTGTGTGCGTCATCTTACAGCGTTTCTGGTGTAATTTCACACCAGCCAGGAAGAAACCACTTAGAAACCATCCAGAGTAACCTAGCGGCCACATAGCAACTGCTCAGAACACCCCAGAAACTGCAGAGCAACTACTTAGAACACCATAGCAACCACACAGAGCACACTAGCAACTGCATAGCAACCACCCAGAGCACCCTAGCAACTGTGTGTTCTAAGTAGCAACCGCATAACAACTACTCAGAACACCCCAGAAACAGCATAGCAAATACTTAGAACACCATAGCAATCACACAGAGCACACTAGCAACCTAAATGACTAAATGTAAATGCATAGCAACTACTTAGAACACACTAGCAACCACATAGTAACCACCCAGAACACCCTAGCAACTGTGTGTTCTATATAGGAACCACAAAACAACTACTCAGAACACCCCAGAAACCACTCAGAGTACCCTAGCAACTGCATATCAGCTACTTAGGAAACTTAGCAACCACCAAGAACACCCTACAAATAGCATAGCAATTACTCAGAACACCACAACAACGGCATAGCAATTACTTAGAACACCCTAGAAACTGCACAGAAACTACTTAGAACACCCTAGCAACCACCCAGGACACCCTAGCAACCACACTGCAACAATTTAAACCACCCTAGAAACCACATAGCAGCTGCCTGGAAAACTCTTGCAATGGCATAGAAACCACCCAGGACACCCTAGCAACTACTTAGAACACCCTAGAGACCAACTCTACAGAACACCCTAGCAACTGCATAGCAACAACTTAGACCACCCTAGCAACCGCAAAGCAACAACTTAGACCACCCTAGCAACTGCAAAGCAACTACTTAGGACACCCTAGCAACCAAATTACCAACTATTCAGGATACCACAGAAACTGCATAGCAACTACTTACAACACCCTAGCAACTGCATAGCAAACATTTAGAATGCCCTAACAACCACATAGCAACCTCTCAAAGGACCCTCGCAATCGCATAGAAACTACCTAAAACACCCTAGCAACTGCATAGCAACTACTTAGGATACCTTAGCAACTGCACTGCAACTATTTAGCCCTAGCAACCAACCAAAAGACCCTAGCAATCACATAGAAAGTACCTAAAACACCCTAGCAACTACTTAGGATACCTTAGCAACTGCACTGCAACTATTTAGCCCTAGCAACCAACCAAAAGACCCTAGCAATCACATAGAAAGTACCTAAAACACCCTAGCAACTACTTAGGATACCTTAGCAACTGCACTGCAACTATTTAGCCCTAGCAACCAACCAAAAGACCCTAGCAATCACATAGAAAGTACCTAAAACACCCTAGCAACTACTTAGGATACCTTAGCAACTGCACTGCAACTATTTAGCCATAGCAACCAACCAGAAGACGCTAGTGACTTTTGGCTCGGACAGGAACACTTATTTTCTTCAGAAAATGTGCAAATGTGAGCAATACCGAATAATAACGTTCTTAAAAAGCTTTCAGAGTACATTAGCATGCTAAAACCACTCAGAAGACAGATAGAGATAGCAACACACCACCCACGTTTTCATCAGAACATATAACATTTTAATTTCAAAATAAATAACCGCATGCATGCATCTGTGATAAACGTCCATCTCTCTCACGTCCCTCATCTTGTACTTTTTTTCTGCAACTTCAGCTCTGTTTTTCTGCTGATGCTCTAATCTCAAGAGTTAAGCATAAGGTCAGATAGCACACGCACGTCTGCAGGACGTCTGTTAAACATAGCTTCATCTGGAAAGCATCTGTTGTGTACAAACATCTGATAGACGTCTTTAAGATGTCAGTTTGACATGCATTCTAAATCATAAACATCTTCTAAACGTCTATTTGACATCTGATAGGAGATGTATTGCAGATGAGCAAACACTCTAAAAAATACGTCTTGCAGATGTAATGCAGACGTCAAATAGACGTCTCCGTGCTATCAGGGAGGGCATGTCTGAGAACTTTGCAATATGTGCAGAAATGTACAAATAAAGTTTTAAAAATGTGTTCCTCATTTTGAGCCTCTCTGGATAAGTGTCTGCTAAATGCATGAATGTGAATGTATAATAAGGAGCGTGCGTGTCTGTGCGTCAGGTGGAGTTCACCTTTGATAAGAGCGTGATGATGGAGCTGCTGGCCGAGTGTCGTGACTTACTGCTGAAGCTGGTGGAGAAGCACCTGACGCCCAAATCTCTGGATCGCATCAGACACGTGTTCAACCATTACTCGGACCCGGAGCTGCTCACGCACCTGTACGACCCGCAGGGCACGCTGTGGCCCAAACTCGGCAAGATCTGCAGCGGCCTGAACCGCATGATCGAAGAGGGCAAGCTCTGAACACAGAGCTGGACTGAAAGACTGGACTTCAGAGCTTCTGTACCTGTGCTGCTCACAGAGACACTGAGCTCAGGGACGCAGTGAGACACTCAGGCCTGAACACATCTCTCATGTCTGATCGGGATTCTCATTAAACACGTGCAGCTCATACTTCACGACAAAATCAGAAGGAAGATTTAAAGGGACAGTCCACCCAAAAATCAGCATTCTGTCATTGTTTACTGACCTCATGTCATTGACTCATGACCTCATGACAACGTTCTCAGAATGTTCTAGAAAGGTTCTCTCAAAGTTATGAACTAACATTCTTCCTGTGACGTTAATGGAACATTCACTCAAAGTTATGGTCCGACATACAAAACATTTAGTTAGCAAAACGTTAATATTTTTGTTAGCTGGGAACTCAAGGAAGTAAATGGGGTCCAATAAAATACATTTAGTGTTCCACAGTCAGTTTTGGAACAAATAAATGATGACAGAATGATCATTTTTGGGTGTACTATCGCTTTAAAAAATGATGTTGTGCATAAAGAAAATTAATCCATACGTTTTTGCATTTTAACATTCATTTCACCCATAAATATTAACACACAGAGCTTACACAACACTGGATTTTATGCACAGTTCCACAGCGTTTACCAGTAAAACAATTCATTACAGTTTTCATGTTTCGGTGTATTTTGCTGAAAAGCAACAGTTGTAAAACAAGACTGAAGCATCTGACCTGAACAAAGTTTTAATAATAAAGTACAATTTTATTGTGTTTCACGCATCTTCAGAAGCCTCTTCTTCATCTCTGTGATCTTTTGATATGATCTGGTTTATCTTTTTTGCACCAGACGTCTTGGGGATGACATCTCGCCATGATTGGAGAATTATAGCATTGCATCAGTGTCTCAGCAAGTGAATGGGTGCCGTCAGAATGAGAGCTGATAAAAACATCACAGTAACCCACAGTACTCCAGTCCATCAGTGAACATCTGGAGAAGACAAAAGCTGAAACAAATCCAGCATTAAGATGTTTTTAACTCAAATACACTGAGTTCATAATCCATAATAACGCTTCATCCAGTGAAAAAGTGCATCTGCTGTTGTCTCTCACATCAAAATCCAGCACATATGTGTTTAGAGCTGTTTAAACGCTGCTTGATCTGTGCATTCTGACGGCACCCATTCACTGCAGAGCATCCATTGGAGGATCCAGAGGATCATACTGGGGGAAAAAAAAGAGGTAATCACTCTTGAGTTCTTTATTGCCATTTTTATTGCCATTTTTGGACTAAAACCCTGGAAAATACAAAAGAAGAAATCAGAAAATGAACAGAGCCAGTGCTGGTGATGTGATCATAAATCAACAGCTGAATCGGTCCTCCATCAGCGGATCCGAGTCGTTCAGAGTCACTCAGTCAAAGAAGCTTTGAATCACTGAATGTGATTCAGTTGAGACCTGTACAGTAACACTTTACAATACGGTCTCATTTGTTCACATTAGTTGACATGAACTAACAATGAGCAATTTTCAGCATTTATTAATCTATGTATTAGTTAATGTTAGTAAATGTTGAAATTAACATTAAGATACAGAAATGCGGAAGTATTGTTCATTGCTAGTTCATGTTGACAAAGTGTTCATTCTGACAGTTTTGCCTGAATTTATCAAAAAATGTCCTCCAACACTGAGTCATGTGGAATTAAACACTCAAAAGCAGTCGTTAAGGTGCATCTAGGTGGTGACTACGGTGTGTTTGACGACGGCTTTCGGTCGTGTGCTCTTGGCGGTCGCTGCCGGTGAAACACTCACGCCACTGTTGCCGCTGAAGCTTCCAGAAGCGTTGGGAAAACCGTGCGCCGCGATGTATTTCTGGTAAGCCTCGCGGATGATCCGGAAGGCTCGGGCGTTGGCGTAGGGGATGTCCGTCACAGGGTCGCGATACAGAGCGGGTTTATGGGTAACAGGACACACCTCCTGAACAGGTTGGGCGGGGCTAGAGCGAGCCGCCGGCGGGAAGGCGGAGCTAAACGCCTCATCGTCGCTGAAGGTGATGTATGTGCGAGAGCACAGAGACCCCGCCCCCTGAGCGGAGGATGAAGAAGTGGGTGTGGCTTGGGGCATGTCCTGGTCCAGCCTATAACAGGAGATGAGAAAGTCTTACCATCATGCATCTTGCTCATATGAAGCAGTGTCTGTCACTAACGATTATTTTGGTCATCGAGAAATCGGTCAATTATTCTGACGATTAATCGGCAATTTTTTTTGTAATATGAATGAACCTAAGCGAACAATAGACTTGAAAATGACTTAAAATTCTATATATAATAGCAGTGAGGCAATAATAATTCGTAAAAAACAAATACATAAATGTAATAAAACAATATTATTGCAACATGTACTATATTATATCAAACGCCTGCAGAGGGTGCCAGCGGCCTGATAGTTTTTAGACTTTACAGCACGACGTAATCCATATTTAATATAGACTAAACAACATTTACTTCAAAAGTCCACTCAATCTTTAATATTTGGCCATTTCTTTATGATAGAAATGCTACAGTAATTTCTTGAAAAAGAACATGTGGACATTAAAACATGCAAACTCAGAGCGAGGGGTTAAACTTTTATTTTAGGTTCCATTTAGGTTCTTAGTTAAGAGTTGAAAAAGCTAATTATTAACTAAAGCAAAAAACATAAACATTAAAGTTTTTAAAATTAAACACTCACTATAAAAAGATTAAATATTTTATCTGTTTAGCTGCATGTCATGTGACCATTAACCGACATCAGAGAACCGTGAATATGCGATAATGCTAAATAATATTGACTTAAAATCTCAGGAAATACAATATTCAGGTAAATATTTTAGCTAAACCTCTGTGAATCCCTTTATTATTATATTAGTTTATACCAAATTAATAGTAGTAACCCGTTTGCATCTTTCAGTGAAGTGACAGCATGATAATAATAACAGACCTTAACTCTATTCTTCTTTCAGCAGCTTTCCAGGAACAAGCTACTGTTTTACAGTAATAGCAATTTAGCATAATTATTATGAGTTACAGTTCATTATGTATAAATTTACCCTTCCACATCCACGTTCTCCTCCTTCATGTGTGCGTCTGGGATGAGCGGCATCAGCACTGAATGATAGCGGATGCTCGGCCCTTCAAACCGTCTCTTCTTATGAACCTGCTTCTTCTTATCAGCCTCTAAACGCTCGTAGTTTTCTGAAACACACACACAGTGTCATCTGAGCACACACTCGTCGCAGTCGTGTAATGCTCTGAGTGTCATGTGAGTGTGTGTGTGAATGAGTGAGTGAGTGAGTGTGTGAGAATGAGTGAGTGAGTGAGTGAGTGTGTGTGTGAGTGTGTGTGAATGAGTGAGTGAGTGAGTGAGTGTGTGTGAATGAGTGAGTGAGTGAGTGAGTGAGTGTGAATGAGTGAGTGAGTGTGTGAGTGTGTGTGTGTGTGTGTGAAGGAGTGAGTGAGTGAGTGAGTGTGTGTGAGTGTGTGTGTGAGTGAGTGTGTGTGAATGTGTGAGTGAGTGTGTGAGTGAGTGAGTGAGTGAGTGAGTGTGTGTGAGTGAGTGAGTGAGTGTGAGAGAGGTGTGAGTGAGTGAGTGAGTGAGTGAGTGTGAGTGTGTGTGTGTGTGAGTGTGTGTGAGAGTGAGAGTGAGTGCGTGTGCGTGAGTGAGTGAGTGTGAGTGTGTGTGAGAGTGAGTGAGTGAGTGAGTGAGTGTGTGTTACCCAGTGATCTCAGGTTGCTCTCAGCGGTGAGTTTGGCCTCTGCGAGCAGCTCGTCTTGTGTCAGCACTCGTTCGCTCAGAGCTCCTCTCCTCTTGCGCGGTGCCTCCAGCTGACGCTCCTGCAGACGCTCGTTCGTCTGCCGCGTGTGCTCGCTCGTGGACTTACGCACCGACTTACGCACTGAAACACACAACGACAACCTTATAAAGCTACTTTAATACACAAAAGACCTCTAAATGATCAACTGAAAAACCTGTTTCACTCAATCTCCACATGTCATCTGTCTCTGATTGAGAGTTTAGAGTGTTTTATCCAGTCAAAGCTTTACAAGCGTTCAGCTTCAGCTGGAGCTTCTCGTGTCAGATCTAGACTGATTTTTATCAAGTAAGCGTCAGAATAACTGCAGCAATATCTCCAGATGAACACTTACTGGACTGAAGCAGCTCAGCTTTACTTGACTCTCCATCAATCATGTTTTAGAGTCTCAAATCTGATCCTCAGGATCTTTTGAGGAGCGTTTGTTTCCAGAAGCTTTACTTTCACTGTTCCTCAACGCAGGGGCGGATCTAGCGGAGGGGCAACTGCATTATCACAGAATAAAATATAAATGTAAGCAGTGTTTCATGAGCTACTTTTCAGCCGCGGCGATGACAGAGTAACGCAAAATAATGGCAAAAACACGTCTTTTAATAAACGGTGCATGCTGGTTGCACGCGCACGCAGACGCCAGTGTAGTCGGCTTCATTAACAAATGACTCTTATGAACCAGATCTTTTTTGAGTCAAAACCACAAACTAACTAATTGTTTTTACATTTGTTTACTGGAGATATAGAGCGACCACTGATATTTATAGCATTTTATATTATAAAGATCTCACTGATTTACAGCACAAGCAGCAGAGTTTCATCATATTAATATCAGCATCTGATGCAAATTCATATTTTTGAGTCTGAATAAAATTGAGACGGTTTGTTTTTTGCTTTAGTTTTAGTTAACTATAAAACCGTCTATATGATTTTTTTGTTTGAGCTGTTTTAGCAGATCAAGTTAACCTTAATGAAAAAGAGAATACAATAAGTTTAACATGATCCAATAAAACAGAAGATCATTTAAAATGAACAAAAAAACATAAAGCATTTCCGTTACTTGAACATTACCTGAACTAAAATAAAAATACGTTTTATTGCAGCTAGTTCCCAAGCCAACATTTCTCATTTTCATTCAGTTAAACTTGTACTAGAATAACTAAAACTAAAGTAAAAATGAATACAAATTAAATAGACATAAAAATGCCAAAAACACACAAGTTACAAAAACTTGAACTTAAATTAATAAGAAAACTGAAAACATAAAAATAAAAACTAATTCAAAATATTTATAAGTGTTTGTGTCTCACTTTCTCCAAACTCCTCCAGCTCTAGAAAGGTGCGTCTTTCCACTTTAGGCCGTTCAGTCTTTAATTCTTCAGAAACTCGCTTCACTTTGGGCTTCGAGACCTTCAGCGGCTCCTGAAACACACACACACAGTCATGCAGGAGCAGATGTGTTGAGTGTGTGTGTTCGAGTGTGTGTGTGTGAGACGCCTAACCTTGTATGCTTTAGTGACCACGCGGCTCTTTCTGCGAGGAGCATCGTCTTCCTGATCGCTGTCGGGTTCGTCTCCTTCATCGATGTCAAAATCACTGTCCACCTCGTCTTCAGTGTCTGAGTGATCTCCTCTGTACTCATCATCTCCAGACTCCTGCTCAACAGACACACACAGAGACAGACACATACACACACAGACAGACACACACACAGACACACACACAGACAGACAGACACACAGACAGACAGATGATAGACAGACAGACAGACAGACAGACAGACAGACAGAT